ACAAACATGGGGAGAACATGCAAGCTCCTCACAGGAGGTGGGATCGAACTCAGGGCCTTCTTGCTATAAGGCAACATCGCACCACCGTGCTGCCCTATCTATATACAGTGTAAATGAATATAAATATCCATATACTGTTAAATCACAACAGCACATTTATATTATAAGGTTAACCCACTTCAGTAGAGACAAAACTGAACAATAAGACGAGCCCCTTGTGAGCAGGTACTTAATGACAGTGTGAAGGAAAAACTCCCTTTTAACAGCAAGGAACCTCCAACAGCACCAGGCTCACAGAGGGGCAGTCATCTGCTGTGACCAGCTGAAGAGTGAGGTGAGGAAGACAGGACAGATTTAGAGAGCTCGTGTAATTTGTGTTTATAGAAGTTCACTCAGAGCTCAACTGTGCCTGTTTTTGAACATTCAAAACATTTCAGTAGGCTATGGCATTAAATGGAAAATTGCATTTTAATCCAAATTTACATGATGTGCTTCAGTTTGGCAGTTTTGTTGATTGTTTTCATCAATTGTCAGATGACAAGGTGTCACAATGAATTATGAATTGCAATTTTCTGCGCTCATTTCCTCACTGGTGCTTTTGTTTGGTACTCTTAGATTAATAATTCATGGTGTGCAGTTTCCTGAGGTGTTGTTGTTTTTCTTTCAAATTTCTTATATTTACCCCCCAACATGCTAACATGTGCAAACATGCATATTTATAAAGTATATGTTATATTAACCAGCGGTGCCCAACCCCCGGGCCTTGGACTGGTACCGGGCCGCGAGAGTTGAGGCTCAGGTGTGAAATGTCTGGTTTTCAGGGTTTTTATCGGTTGTCAGCGTTATTTTGTTATCGTTTTTATCGTTTACTCGGTTTTCCTGGGTCTTTTCACGTGTGTTATGAATAAATCTTCTTTTTTTTGGTACCGGTACTAGTTTTATTTTGTTGTATTTATCCGCGACACCTTAAAGGCTGGTCCATGAAAATATTGTCGGGCATAAACCGGTTCGTGGCGCAAAAAAGGTTGGAGACCGCTGATATTAACCATGCTAAACACGTTAGTTGAAGTAAAGATGAAGATGAAGTACAACTGCGAATTAGCACTATACAAATCAGAACTGAGGTCCAGAATATTTGTTAATAAATATTAAATTCAGAAGGAATCCTGCTGATCCCTTACCATGAAAGATGTTATGAGCTCTACCACAGAAGTCATTTAGGTGGTTGTTGAGGATGATTCCAGTGCTTGAAGAGAGGACATTGGACCCAAATCTGTAAAGAGTAAACATTAAATGAACTAGGTCTAAACCCTGTCACACTGTTGTGGAAAAGTCAGCTGGTTTCTAACAGTGAAACAGAATGATGCAGGTACTGACTCATCGTTGATGCTGCTGGTGACAGACACAGCAGATCCATCTTCAGCCAGCACAGATACATGTGTGGTGCCGATGCTGTCCAGATATGAGTTTTTGCCGTAATACTGGGGATCGTGAGTCTTGTCGCTGCTGATCAAGCTCCGTATGTGGTTGGCAAAGCTATCCTCTGTCAAATTCTTTGCCATCTGTGTGAAATACAGAGAATTAAGACCCATAATTAAATAAGCACATTACAGAAAATACATTGATATCAAGAAAATTAACAATTTACAGCCAAATATTAACAGAATTTTGATCATTGATGCATCACTGACGCTGCTGGTGACAGACACAGCAGAAGCATCTTCAACCAGCAACTTGCAAAGTCGCAAGCTCACCCCAGCAAATTAACCAAAAGTCTGACTGTGCAATGCTCAGAGATATTACAAAAAACTTCAGACCTCAACTCATTATCAATGTGCATAAACCGACTGTGGTGGGATGTGGTTTGTGGATGAGCTGCAGGCGGGGTGGAGCACGGCAGAGCAGAGGCTGATGTGGTGTTGCTACATTTACTCGTTGAGTCACTTAAATATAATCATACTATATGCAACAAAGCAGGTGCAAATTTTGAGATACTTACTTTATCTGAGCTGAAGTTTGGATCTCTGATATGTTTCTTTAATCCATTGGCAAATTTTAAAGCTTCAATATAACGGTGATAAAACAAAATCTTTTCATCAGTAGTATTAGGTTCTGATTCCATTTTGTATCCTGAAAATATAAATAATTGTT